CTTCCCCTCGCCACAACTGCGGGGCGGGCGGAGACGGAAAGCAAAAAAAGAGAGAGAGGGCCGAGGGTGCCGCGGACGTACGACGGAAGTGTGTGCGGGCTGCCGGTGAACGCGCACGACAAAAACAAAAAAAAGGGCCAGAGGGAAGCGGGCAAAGAAGCGAGAAGAAAAAAAAAGGAAAACGAAAACGAAAAAAGAGTAGGCATAAACGGGGGAAGCGGAGACCGGGGGAGGCAAGGCGCGGCTGCAGATATTTGGGGCGAAAAGGGAACGAAGGAAGGAAAAGAAGAGCTCACACAGACATACAGAAAAAAAAAAGAGCGAGGGGTGGCGCAGCTGCACGGTGAGGGCGAGAAAAAGAGGCGGAATGGCGTACACGCAGTCCCAGGCCATGAAGAAGGAGTTTGCGCTCCCAATGGTGCCTGGCATGACATGCGGCGAGGAGATGCTGCGACGCAACTACCACCGCGTGCAAATTCACGGGGAAAAGTACGACACGATGACGTCCACCAAAAGCGTGCCGATTGACATGACCCGGAGCAACATGGAGAAGACGTCCACTGCTTGCAAGGCTGGCGCGGACGCCCTGGCCACCGGCACGGGGTCATCGTGGGAGGAGGCCAGCCGCCAGCAGGGCGGCGGGGCGGACCTCAGTGGGCGGGTGCTGCGCTTCTACGGCTACACGAAGGAGCAGGTGCCGGAGAGCGCCGTGGAGCGGGACCGGCTGCGCAAGGTTGTGCTCAACGTGTTCCTGGAGGACAACACCATGAGCGTGACGGAGCAGAGCCCGGACAACTCGGGGTTTGCCTTCCCCCTGGCGCTCAAGCGCCACATTGTGCCCATGCCCGACGGCACGCCCATCACCTTCGCCGATCTGCGCGTGGGGCAGGCAATCAGCTTTTACGGCCGCACGTACAAGTTGTACGACGCCGACAAGTTCACCCGCGACTTCTTCAAGGAGGGCGGCGTGGAGCTCGAGCCGGCGCAGGAGGTGCCCATGGACGCCTTCACGCTGCAGCGTAGTCGCCCCATAGCGCGGGCGCACGACGTGCGCTCTGTCGCGGCCGACAGCCCGCTAAACTGTACCCTCTTGCCGGAGCAGGTGCGGGCGGCGCAGCAGTTCCTCGAGCACGACGGCGAGGTGCTGCGCTGCGACTGTGTCTGGGACGACACCGAGGCGCTCCACGGCGTGAAGCACTTCTTCACCCTCTACTACTTCCTCGCGGACGGCAGCATCGCCGTGGTGGAGAAGGACTTCCCAAACAGCGGCCGTGACCCGTTTCCGCGGTACTTCCGTCGGCAGCGTGTGGCGAAGCCGGCGGGCGACGGCAAGTTTGACCCGCAGACGCTGGGCTCCAACACCTTCCGGGAGGACAAAAACACGGTGTACTACACCGACGACGACATTCGCATCGGCAACGTCCTCAACCTCTACGGCCGACTTGTGCTCATCTGCGACTACGACGAGTTCACGCGGAGCCACCTGCGCAGCAAGTTCGGCGTCACCGCCTACGAGCCAATACCGGGGGGGAAGAAGCCACCAGCGGTGCCCATTGGCTGCTACAGGCGAGATAAGACGGCGCAGGAGTTGGAGGAAATGCAGGAACGCAAGCGTGCTGAAAATCGCCTGCGCGAGTTTGCCGACGGCGTGGTTAAATTTCTCATGCGTCTTGACAATGCCAAGTACGACGATGAGATTCGTCGCTTTGTCCTGGCAGTGTACCCGGCCGATAACACCATCTCCATCTTTGAGCCCGTGCAGCGAAACAGCGGCATCGTGGGCGGAAGATTCCTGCAGCGTCAACGCTGCAAGCGCCCGGATGGAGAATATTACACGGCGCAGGACTTCTTTGTTGGGGCCCACCTGAATATCAATGGCTTTCCGTTTGTTGTGCTTGCCTCGGACGAGCGCTCGCTGAACTACATGGAGGCAAACTACAAGGAGTTCAGCCGCTCGAACATTAACCGCATCGTGCGCAAGCTTCGTGCGATGCTCACAAGCAAGCAGACTGGGCTCGTTGAGGCCTTCCGCGCGGCAGATGAGGCGAATAAAGGCGGGCTCCAGATGGACGTCTTTCTGGAGATTATGCAACGGCTCCAACTGGACCTCTCCGAGCAGGAGATTCTGAGCATCCTGCGCTACTTTGACAAGCATGGCGAGTCGTACGTCTCCTACGAGGAGTTCGTGGCGCGCGTGATGCCGGAGGGGGACGCCGTCGCCTCCGACGACCGCCCATGGGAGGAGATTGAGAAGGAGAGCGCCGAGAAGGAGTCGGTCGTGTTTGTGGCAGACCCACGTATTGATGAGGAAAAGCGGGCACGGGCGGAGGAGACCGCGCTGGCCGCGCGTGGGGCGGCAGAGCTGCTAGTGCTCTACGACCAGCGCCGGCAGCTTGTGCTGAAGGAATTTCGCGCCGTGGCGGATTACTCCACGGAGAGCGTCATTGGGCCAAACGAATTTAAGATGTGTATACGCAAGAGGCTGCAGATGCACAGCATGCCCGATGCCGAGCTTAACGCCCTCTGTGCGAAACTGTTTCCAAAGGAACTGCCACGGCTGAGTCTGGAGGAGCTCGTCCGCGTGTTCAACGGCACCTCATCGCTGCCGCGAAACCTCTGCGAGATAAAGCAGGGCATCTCCCGCTAGACCGGCAGTGCGGCTGAAGTGAAACTTTAACTGCAGTGCGGGGGCACGTGGTGTGCGGGAAGCTAGACACGGGCCAAGGGCGAACGGAGAGAAGGCGGGAATACAGATGTATTGTGTGACGGTCTCCTGTTCACTTTGACTGTGTGGTTTTTCTGTCACCTGCCTTGCTCGTGGCCTTCTCTCTCTCTTTGTGTGTGTGTGTGTGTGTCTGTGTGTGTGGGGAGGGGGGGGGAAGAAGGGGAGAGGGGTCAGCCACAGGGGCGTCCCTCCGATTGCTTCTTCGCGACTGCGCTTATTCCCGCCATCAGTTGCCCTCCGCATTGCGTTTGAACCTTTTGGCCGCAACGCGCATGTATACAAAGTGGCGCTAGACGCGCCCGGGTGGTGCAAAATAGCCACACAAAAGAGGAGGAGGAAGTGCCTGCGCATACGCAGAGAAAGTGATAGATATATATATAGAAAGGCAGGGATGCGAGGGAAAAAGGACACATTCTTTTTTACCGTTCTCCCTGTTTCTCTCTTTCTTTGTGTGTGTGTGTGTGTGTTCAGGCACTTCCTCCTTTTCTTCCTTGAATGTCCAGTAGACGGTGCTGCAGAGTCGCCATGCTCTTTCGAAGGCGCCGAATGAAGGCGTCCTCGGGGTGTGGTGATTGCGGTGACGGTGTTTTAGTTGTCCTTCCTGCTGCTTTTGGTTTGGCGCCATTACTGCGGCTGTTGCATGCTTGTCTCTTGTGTGGTATTTCCTCCTCTTCTTTCCCACCTATTCCTATTTCTCCCTCGCTCTCTCTCTCTCTCTCGCACACACTGCCGGTGCGTGTGTTTATACAAATATATTGGGGATTTGCCCCTGCGTCGTGAAGGTTGCAAGCATGAAACATGTTCTACTTTTGCTGGCGGTCGCCGTGGCGTTTGCTGCGGCGCCGTGGCCCGTCGCCGCCGCCGCCGCTGCCGCCCGCAGCGAGGAGGAGTGCCGCCAACTTGGGTTCAGCCGGGCCGAAGTGAGGTGCAACTACTGCCAGCCGCTGCTGGAGCACACCGGCAGCGCGGAGCTGTGGCAGGAGTGTCTGTCGTGCTGCGCCGCCGAGGAGCAGGCGCCGCAGCGCACCTTCGCCCGCGCCCGCATCGAGCGGCGGGGCATCTCGTACGTCATCGAAGACACACGCAGTGAGCTTGGCATGTTTTACAAAAGATTCAAGGACAAGTTTGGCAGCCGCGTGCGGTTTGTCGAGCAGAAATCGTACGAGCCGCGCCTCGTGCTGGAGGACGACGGCGGCGGGGAGGATCTGGAGATGAGCATCGTGGGCTGGACGAAGGACGCCCTGCACGACTACCTGCTGCAGGCCCTGGGCCTGGCGCCGCGGGGGGAGGCGGCGTGAACTTTGGGCGCCTCACACACGCCCTTCCCTTTTTTCCCCTTTTTTCCCCCTTTTTTTTCCCAACTGCGGCTTCCCGTTGCCTGCGTGTTTCTTTTTGCCTTCACCCCCGTTTCCCGGGGCGCCTCCTCCCCGATGTGTCTCTCTGCAGCTGCCATCATCTTCTTCTTCTTCTTCCGCTCGCTGTGAAGAAGTTCTCTGGGTTTCGCGCCCACTTTACCCGCTAGGGCATAGGAAGTGCAGCCAGACTCCCGTTGCCTCCCTGCAGCACGCGTGGAGCTCACGGAATTACCGCCAAACCCACACACACACACACACACAGACGCACACAAAGACACTCACACGGAAGAGTGGGACTGGGTGAACTCGGTGTGAGAAAAGCAAGCAAAAGCCTTTTTTCTTATTATTATTTCTTGCTTTTCTGTGTTTCTTTCTTGTTGTTGTTGTTGTTCCTGCCTTTGTGAATAACATAACCAACAAACCAAACTGGACGATCTCAAGAATACGCACACGCCCAAATATTATATATTTATACGTATATAATATATAACCTGCAACAATGATGCGGCGTGTTCTCTGCCAGGGGCGTCACGCTCTCCCTCTGAGCGCATTTTCGCGGTCCTACACGGACGCCAAGACAATTCGAACGCCAAACAAATTCGACCAGCTGCTGGACGCCCAGAACGAGGAGTACGTGGAGGGGCTGCTGCAGATGTACAAGAAGGATCCGTCGCTAGTGGCGCCGAGCTGGATTCCGGTGCTGGAGAACCTGGAGGGCGGGCCGCTGGAAATGCCACTTGTGCCCAGCTTTCATCGCCCCACCTCGGCACAGACGCTGACGGAGCGGGAGCGGATTAAAAACATGGGCCTCTCGTGGATGATTCGGGCATTTGAAAGAAAAGGGCACTACCTCGCCAAGGTAAACCCGCTTCATGGCGTGGAGGGAGCATCCGAGTGTCCCATTGACCCCTCCGCCCTGGACCTGTCAACTTTTGGCTTTACGGAGGAGGACCTCGATGAGGTGTTCTACGTCACCTTCGGCTGCGACTTCGAGGCGACCTTCGTGAGCGGCGATAGAGGGGAGACGCTGAGGGACATTGTGGCGCAGCTGCGACGCATGTACTGCGGCAGCATTGGCTTTGAGTTCATGTCCACCGGATTTTTTGATATGCGCAACTGGTTTCGGCAGGAGAGCCTCAACACGCTGATCCCGCTGGAGCGGCGTGACCGGCTGAACATCTTTGAGGACGTCGTGCACAGCTGCGGGTTTGAGCAGTTTTTGCAGCTGAAGTACGGCACCCAGCAGCGCTTCGGCATTGACGGAGGTGAGGCACTCATTCCAGCGATGCGGGCGATGATTCAGACGGCCTACAACAACGGCGTCCGGTCATGCACGCTCGGCATGGCACACCGCGGTCGACTGAATGTGTTGTCGAACGTGCTGCAGAAACCCCTGACGGCCATCTTCTGCGAGTTCGAGGGCAAGGCGCCGAGGGATAAGGCGCCCTACGTTGGCGACGTGAAGTACCACTTGGGGCTGCGCAACCGGGTGCGGCTGCGCAGCGGTGAATTTATGGACCTCGACCTGCTGCCCAACCCCTCCCACCTGGAGGCGGTGAACCCGCTCGTCGTCGGCAAGGCCCGGGCCCGGCAGTTGTACATGAACGACGCGGACTGCACCGAGGTGCTGCCTATTCTCATCCACGGGGACGCCGCCATCATGGGGCAGGGCTGCTGCTACGAGACGCAGGGCCTTGCGGGCCTCGAAAACTACAACGTCGGCGGCACCATCCACATCATTGTGAATAACCAAATTGGCTTCACGGCAGACCCCGCGCAGGGCCGCAGCAGTATTTACTGCAGCGACCTGTCCAGGGTAATTAATGCACCCGTGCTGCACGTCAACGGCGACGATGTGGAGGCCTGCGTCCGCGCCGGTCGCATTTCGTCGCTCTTCCGCCAGACCTTCCACAGGGACATCATCATTGACCTGGTCTGCTACCGCCGCCATGGCCACAATGAGTCCGATTTTCCTGATTTCACGCAGCCGCAGCTGTACAGGGCGATCCGTAACCACCCCACGTTGGTGGACATCTACGCCAAGAAACTCGTTTCAGAGGGTATCCTTACCGAGGAAACTGTGAAGGCCAAGAAAAAGGAATACGACGCACGGCTGCGTCAGGCGATGGATGCCGCGCAAAGCTCCCAGGACTTTGTTAAGATTCTGCCGCACTTCGAACTGGCCTCCGAGAATCAGGGCGACACGTGGGTGGTGGAAGAGGAAAAGGAGGAAAAGGAGGACATTCCAAAAGCGGTTGAAACCGGCGTGGAGATGGAGACGCTTCGCAAAGTTGGCATGCACATTACCACAATCCCAGCCGCCGTGAGGAGGGCGCACCCCGTGCTGCAGCGCACGTACGCCATGCGAAGGAAGGCGATCGAATCCGGTGACGGCGTGGAGTGGTGCTTAGGGGAGCTATTGGCGTTTGGTACGCTGGCGCTCGAGGGTGTAAGTGTGCGTCTCTCAGGCGAGGACGTGGAACGCGGTACCTTTACGCAGCGGCATGCGGTGGTCACGGACCAAGAGACGAACTTCAAGTTTACCCCTGTGGCCAACATCTCGGACAAGCAGGCGCCGGTGGCGATCTGCAACAGCAGCCTTTCCGAGCTTGGGGTCTGTGGGTTTGAGTGCGGGTACAACATGGAGGATCCCTCCAACCTGTGCATGTGGGAGGCCCAGTTTGGCGACTTTGCCAACGGGGCTCAGGTGGTTATTGACCAATTCATCTCCAGCGGGGAGGAAAAGTGGGACGTGAAATCCAGCCTTGTCTTGTCGCTTCCGCACGGCTACTCCGGCGCCGGGGCGGAGCACAGCTCTGCCCGCATTGAGCGCTACCTGCAGCTGAGCAGTGACACCGACGTGGTCCCTGCCAACTTCCGTCAGGCGTCTCCCGCACGCATGATGGAGGCACGCATTCAAACGTACAACTGGCAGGTCTGCTACCCGAGCACGCCTGCCAACTACTTCCATATGCTCCGCCGCCAGGTGGTACGGGAGGATGTGAAGCCCCTCGCCTTTTTCTTCTCCAAGGCCCGCCTGCGCCCCCCGAACGTGTCCTCGCTGAAGGAGATGGAGAAGGGCACGTCCTTCCTGCCGGTTATTGACACCGCCGAGAAGAGCGACATCGTGCCACGAAAGGTGCTCTTCTGCGCAGGCCAGATTGAGAGCATCGTGCATGATCGTCGCCAGAAGCTTCGCGAATCAAACCCCGGCGTGCACGACGACGTGGTGCTGGTGAAGGTGGAGCAGCTCTCCCCCTTCCCATGGGAGCAGGTCGCCGACGTCTTGGAAAAGTACCACGGCCGCAATCCAAACGTGCACTTTGCATGGCTGCAGGAGGAGCCTAAAAACATGGGGTCATGGGCGTACATGCGCCCGCGCTTCCAAAGCCTCATGCGCCACCTCGGCCTCACGAAACCTGGGACGTTGCTGGACTACATTGGGCGACCGGCGGCGGCGGCAACGTCCACCGGTTACGGCAGCGTTCATGTAGAGGAGGAAAAAGAACTCGTCGCCCAGGCGTTGGCATAGTGCCAGTAAAGCAAAGAAGGAGGGCCTAAGCGTGTGGCACATTTGGCAATGTGTGTAATTTAACTGGTTGAAAACGGAGTTAAACGGGAGTAAAAAAGTAAAAAAAAAAAACTATATTTTATGATCAAAAAGAAAAAAAAACGGATACTACTACTACTACTACAAAAGGAAAACAAAAAAGAAACGTACAAAAAAAGAGGAATCTTCTTGTAGTTTGCGTTGCGGAGGCTACCATTTTACAATAGGAAATGACTATAGCTGCAGCAACGTGGATGGGTTTTTTTAAAAAAAAGGAGCTGGAGAAGGGGATAAAGCGAGGAAGCGAAGGAAGGGTAGATATAAGAAGAAATGAGGTAATAGGAGGAGGAGGAGGGGGAAACCCGCTTCCCCGGCATGTTGGTGTACCTGGTTGTATGTAACTATACACTTCATCTTGCTCTTTTAGTGAGCCTGTTGCGTGTTTATACGGACGCGTGGCGGACTCTGTGTGCCTCCACGCAGAGGCACGGCAGGAGAGAGGAGGTTGTGCTTGTATACAGACACAGACGTGTAAATGAACTTTCTGCTTTTGTTGGCTCTCTTAGCAATTGCTGTTGTTGTTCTGCGCGCGCTTCAGGCGAGAGGAAGGGGAGGAGACTGTGAAAAAGGAGGCGGGGGGAGGCGGAAAGAGGGGAATTGTTAATTCCACTTCCCTCCACACGAATACGCATAACTCTCCTATATTGGCACTTCGAATCACTCACTGTGGTCGTGTGTGTATTTTTTTGTTGTTTTTTTTTGTTGTTTTCTTCGGTCGGTGACGCTGAACCCTCCGTTCTACCCCTTTTTTTATTTTGTTTTTCGTCACGGTTGCTGCGGAGAGGGAGAGAGGGGAAATGCGTTCTTGGTGACCCCGGTGGTCGGCGCGTGTGTGTGTCGCCTTGTTTGTTTGTTTTTGTTTCTTTTTTTTTTGTTTTTCACGTTTTTTTTTTCTCTGTGCGTTTGGCGCTACCGCTACTTTGTTTGCCCTCCATTCAAGCCTGCGAGGCCGCGGCCGCCTGTGCCGCCAGGCGGGGTTGAGGGGGGTGGGGGCGTGGGCTGCGACCCGGTTTGTCTTCCTTCTTTCCGCGTCTGCTCCTTCCGCCCGCAGGTAGCGACTCGCGTGGGCCACCGCAGGCGTCGGTGCGGTAGGGGACGCCCGTTGACCCCCGCTGCCGTGCGTGCGTGCGTGCGTGCGTGTTAGAGTTTCCCTCAGAAGGCCGTGTGGGCGTGCGGGGTGGGGCACAGCCTGAAGGGGCGGAGCGAGGAGGACAAAAGGAAAAAGGGAAGGTATGCGGCAGGAGCAGGAGGAACGAGGTTGGGGCGGCCAGGGCGGGGAGGTGACGCTGCGGCAGGCGCTGTGGGTCGACGACCGCTACGCGGTGCGCTGCCGCGGCTGCGACGCCCGCTTCCACGTCATGCGGCGCCGCCACCACTGCCGCAACTGCGGCCAGGTGTTCTGCAGCGAGTGCCTGATCGCCTCCTCGACGACGCGGCTCGGGGACATCCTCACGGGCGTGCTCTCCTCCCTGGTTGGGCTGCAGCGCGAGCCGCTGGCCAAGCTGTGCTACAAGTGCGACCGCCTCCTGCGGGAGCGCGGCATGGGGCGGCGGCGGGGCTGGCGCGGGATGCTGCCGCCGCGAGGAGGGCAGCTGACTCTGCTGCCGGCGACGGTGACGCGTGGGGGAGGCGGGCGCGGGGAGCCGCGCCACGGCACAGCCACGACGGCGGCGGCAGCGGATGTCACGTCCGTGGAGACACACACGCAGATGGAGTTGCCCCGTCCTTTGGGCGAAGACGCGGCGGCGGCGTCTGCTGCCGCCTCTCCGGTCACATTCTTGAGCGGCACCGCCTCGAGCGACGTGCTGCAGCATCCTCGGCATCCGCGCCTGCCGACGCATCCGGAGGGTGCGAGAGAAGAGGAAATAGCATGTGGGTTGACGGACGCCCCACTGTATAGCCGGAACAGCTTGGCCGACGCGGTTGCTAAGCTGCTCAAAGAAACACGTAAGCTGCAAACGAAGGCGTCTCCGGAGCAGTCACAGAGCGTCAGTGTGGCCCGCACCTACACGCCGCATCCAAAGGCGAGCTTCCGTCGTGCGGGCGTTCGCCTGGGGCCGGGCCATGTTGCCAGTGTCTTCTCCCAGTCTACTTCCAAAAGCAGCCTGCAGCGGCTTGAAACACAGTGCTCGTACCACCTCATTAAACGTGCGTCGCGGCTGTTTATGCGGGAGGAGGCCTTGGCGTCCTCAAGCGGGGAGCCTGCGGGGATGGATCGCGTGCAGTGGATCGCGGGGCTGTGCGACATATCCTGGCGTGTGGTGTCGCAGCTGCCTGTGGTTCTGTACGAGCGCATTAACCAGCGTGTGGAGGTTATTTGCATTCCCGGTGGCCGGTTTGCCGACACGGAGATCATCACCGGGGTCGCCTTCGTTCAGAACATTGCCTTCAAACGCATGAAAACATTCGTGGCGGCCCCGCGCCTACTTCTCTTGGCCGGTGACGTGGGCACGGCCCTAAATCCCAGGGCCGACCTCCTGGAGCACGTCGCGGGGTATGAGGGCCACCTAGACACGCAGTACCATCGCATCCACATCTGGCGCCCCTCAGTTATTGTGGTGGGGGGCAACATGCATCATTACTTGCAGGATAAAATTCTTCGCCTGACCGACGCCACACTGATCCTCCACGCCGGGAAGGCAATCCTGCAAAGACTTGCACGTTGTTGCAAGGCAAGCATCGTTACTGACTTGCAGTACATCGGTGCCGCCGACCTGCGTGACGACTCCGTGCTTGGGACATGTGAGAGCTTTCAAGTCGTCCACCACGGTGACAAGCCTGTGTGCATTTTCAAGGCGCCGCAGGTGCCGCTGTTTTCTACCGTCCTCCTTCGCGGGGCGGACGCACCTCGGCTAACCGTCGTCAAGCGACTCTTGCTCAACTGCGTGGCGACTGCCTATCACCTTACCCTCCAGGCGCATTGTATGTTTGACTTGGGTGTGATGTGCGCCGAGTCGCCCTCCACCCCGCAACTGTGACAAACGGCAACGAAGGTGGCGGCGGTGAGGAGGAAGAGGCGGAAGACGTCTCCCCGCCCGCTTGGGGAGAGGCGGCGGCACCTGTGAGCTCCCGCCGGTGTGCGGCGTATATGCAGTTTGTCGCCGCTGCGCCCCGGGCGGGGGACCGCCTGGAAACGCTGTCGATGAACGTGGGTGTGGCGTTTCCCCATGACTTATTGGGTCTGAATGAGAAGTACGATGAATTGCTGGTGGACAGTATTATTGTGAACACCGTCTTCCTTGAGTACGTCGTGGGGGGCTTTCCCGGCGAGGAGGGCGGCGGGGGCGGGGGCGCGGCGGACCCAAACTACAGCGTGAGCCAGTCCCGCGAGGTTCTTCCCTTCTACCAGGAGGGGGACGAGGCACTGCTGGACTTCCTGACGGAGCGGGCAAAGGAGGGGAACTCGGTGCGGCTCATTGTGCACGGAAACAAGCGGATTTGGGTCAAGACATCTACCGACTTTAACAATGCCCATCTGCGGCGCACGGACTTTGCGCAAAGTGGGTCGTCGTTTCCTCCCGCACTGGCGGATTCCTTGGCCTCGTCCCGCTCGACTGGAAAGGCTGGGGACGAGGCGTACGTGTTGCTTGTCCAGGGCTACGTCCTCTGCAAAAACTGCTTTTATGGCACGGGGAACGGCTCAGCTGGCCCGCCGCTTGCTGCTTGCTCGCTCCCCACGCTTAACCTTTCGTGGGGGGCGTTTCTGGAGCTTCTGATTTACGGCTCCGCCTGCTTCTCCCTGGGTTGTGGCCACGACCCGAGCCGTGGGGTATGTATCTCGTTCCTCGTGTTTCCGCGCACGAGAGGGGAGGTGACGGTAACCATCGTGGTGGAGCCGCTCACCGTCTACGACATTGTCACTCCGCCGGCGACGATGCCCGCGTGCGCTGACGCCGTTGAGCTGTACCTGACGACTGAGAAGGAGGAGCTGCTGCGGTGCGTCGGGAGCATGGCGGCCGCCGTCCGAGCCATGACCGCGGCGCAGGCACAGCTGCAGCAGCAGCAACAGCAACAGCAGAAACCACCCTCACCTCCGCCTCAGCCCTTGCAGCTGCCGCAGACAAAAACTCTTAAGCCTCCTTTTGCTTCGCTGCTGCATGGGCGCGGTTTGGTGCAGGGGGACGCTGCGGAGTTTGACGCGGAAATGGGCACTGTGCTTCTGCGACGGGCGGAGGAACTTCTCCGGCTCATACCGTCCCTACAGAGAGGCGAGGACTTGACGCTTCTGCGCCTCAGTGAATTGGCGGACCTGATGGCGGACTTCACGGAGTGGTACAAGCATGGGATGCTGCTGGCGGAGCGGCGCAGCGGGCGGCCGCCCCCACTTGTGGAGCTCGCCGCGTTTGAAGACCACAGCTGGGCGTACTGCCCGCAGGACAACAGCGGACTTCGACTAAACGAGCCCAGTTCCCTTGTGGCGCTGGCGCTGCAGGCCTCGAGCCTGTCGCCTGGGGGCCGGCGCGAGTGTCTGCTGGGCCCCGCGGGGAGTGATCCGCTACCGCTCGCCCCGCCCGCGTCCAAGCAGGGCGCGACGAGTGAGCAGGAGGCCGTCATGGCCGACAGCGCCGACGGGGACGCCTCCCTCGCCGAGATGGAGGAGGAGGCGACGCAGGTGTTTCTTGAGGACTCCATGGCGGTGATGCTCGGCATTGAACCCTCTCCGTCGCCGGGCCTTCAGCCCTCCTCCGTCTTTATTCGCTCTGCGGCGGACGCCTTGGAACTGCTTGCCAACCGCGGCCCCGCGTCGAAGACGGCCTTCAAGCACGCCATGGACGTCATTCTCCCCTGGGACAAGGCCGGGGCGACGACGGTGACGGTGGAGGTCATGTTTCCAGAGCAGTTCGCCGCCCTCCAGTACCTCTACACCGGAGGCCGCACGGAGGAGATGATGTTTTCGCTCTCCCGCACCCGCGCCTTTAAGCCGCAGGGAGGGAAGACGAAATCGGACTTCTTCATCACGCTCGACCAGCGCTTCCTGATGAAGCAGCTCAAGCAGGCGGAGCTGAAGCACTTTGCCGAGTTTGGGCCCCACTACTTTTCCCACATGGCCCACATGTACGGCCGGCTGGAACGCCGCGGCGAGCACGACGCCGACGCCGTCGCCGCCGCACCGCCCGGGAGCGTGCTCTCTAAAATTTTTGGCGTATTTTCAATACACGTCAAGCGGACGCGGCGGTTTTTGGAAACGCCGGCCGAGGTTCGTTACTACGCCTTGATGGAAAACGTCTTCTTCGCCCGCCGGGCAGACGTCATGTACGACCTGAAGGGCAGCCAACGCAACCGCACGGCGGTGGAGGGGTCGTCGGTGCTCCTCGACCAGGACCTCGTCGGCACGCTGCAAAAAGGGGTCTTCTTCTACTGCACAAACGACGCGAAGAGTCTTCTCATGGACAGCTTGACGAGCGATGTCCAGCTGCTCGCGGCGGCGTCCATCATGGACTACTCCCTCGTCGCCGCACTCAGCGAGGCGGACCGCCAGCTTTCGCTCGGCGTGATCGACTACCTCCACCCCTACACCGGCGCGAAGGTGCTGGAGTCGAAGGTGAAGGCCGGGATCGACACGGTGCTCGGGCACGCCGGCCGCGACCCCACGATCATCGACCCCGCCAGCTACCGAATGCGCTTCACGCGGCGGCTCGGGGGCTACTTTTGCGGCGTTCCCGACAAGGGGTTCGCCGCCCGACGCGCCATGGCGAAGGACAACCGCCGCAGCACCTATTAGCGCGGGGACGCCGCCGCCGCCGCCGCTTCTCCCGACTCCGCCTACTCTTCCCTCCTTGCTTCACTGTGCTTCTGCCGACCCCTTCGCAACTGCGGCAGGAAGGGCGCGGCGTGCATATAAGCAAAAGAACTCCAACGGCAAAAGCCACCTTCTCCTCCTTTTTTGGTCCCACCCTATTTCAAGAAACCCGCTACCCAAGGCACACACGCGATCAACAAATTGAAAAAAAAAAAATTCTAAAAGCCACCGCCGCCCTTCTGGCGGGGGAGGGGCCGCGGCGCAAACTCTCGCACAACCGGACAGGGGCGTCGCGCGTGGCACCGACCGCAGGCCACCGGCCCAAGGGATGTTGCGCTTCCGGCCCGTTCGCTCGCTTCTCGGGACGCCGATGCACCCGCGCGCCCAGTGCCGCGGGGCGGCGGGTCTCA